CAAGGGTAGTTATCCAAACGAAGCAGTGAAGGAGATGCATGAAACCTGCTTGAAGGCCGAGAACACCATCGCGTACGTCTCCCACTTTGAGGAGCTTCAAGACCTTGTGAAGCGACCTGTTAGCATCGTTGAGTCATGCGCCATGGCTGCTGTTCGTGCAAGCTTAGACATGAACGCTGGTGCTATCATCGTCCTCTCCACCAGTGGTGACAGTGCTCGTCTTCTCTCCAAGTACAGACCGGTCTGCCCTATCTTTATGGTTACCCGAAACGCCTCCGCTTCCCGATTTGCTCACTTGTATCGTGGTGTTTATCCCTTCTACTTTGCAGAGCAGAAGCCAGATTTCAACAAGGTCAACTGGCAAGAAGATGTGGACCGAAGAATCAAGTGGGGTATCTCCGAGGCTTTGAAGCTCAAGGTTTTGACGCAAGGCGAGACTGTTGTCGTTGTGCAAGGATGGAAGGGCGGTATGGGTAACACTAACACTCTCCGTGTGATAAAGGCTGAGAAGAATCTTGGATTGCTCGAGTAAGAAGCCTTCAAGATTGTCAATCAAAATCAGCCAGCGTCATTGAGCTCCCTCAGAGCAGATACAGCCGCCCGCCGACGGAATGAGATCGTTCATACCTCCAAAAATGAACTCAGGTGCAGAAGAATGGCAGGTGGACTTGTATACAGAAGTTGTCATAATGGTCTATAGAGAGCAAATATCAATCCATTTCCCCAAATCTCTAGTCTAATTTTGTCGTAGTAAAAATGTTCATATTTAAGCGAACCAGACCCCTATGCCCTCCCCCACCCCCATCGGGTATATTTCTATCGTCGTATTACATGAATCATGTAATAGCTTTCTTTAGACTTGCACCAGTTTAGATCCCGAGTACTGTAGGTCTGTTTTGTCTTATGCTGTCATAATCATGTTTTGTTTTATTCATTCTCTTTAAGGACTGGTTTGACCCCTTCCCGTCCTTACGGTCCCAGGGTTTCAAATGATATCTTACCAAACTTACCAGTCGAGAATGTAATTTTCACTAGCAGGCTCTTTAAAGGATATCCTCTTCTCTGAAAACCCGCGCTCTTCTTCAAGAACTTACACCCTTCACGGACTCTCACTAAGTTATCCAAATATCTTGCATCTGTCAATTCCATCACTTCCATACCAAGGCACCAAATACCAGGATTTTCGATATTAAGAGATCCAACAATCATCACACCTAGAAGAATTCCAAAAGCATACGGGTCTACCATTGTCAGACTGCCACCCGATCGCTTCCACAGAGACCATTTACTGATCACTTCCACAGCACAACCTATCAGGAATGTCTTCTCAAGATACCCCGGCTTCCCAGCCACAGCATGAGTCGACATACGTTGCTGCTTCAACTCTCGCCCAGGAAGAGGGGCCAGTCGATGAGAACGTAATGAGGCAAAGACTGCTGGCAATGATGCAGCACCCGGCGGTTGTGGCCCTGCTCGGACGGCTTGAGTTAGGTCCTCACCTTGCAGATGATGAAAGTCCGGTCCAGGAAGCGACCACGACAGCCTCAGACACCACGCCAGACAATAGCCCTGGCCTTCCTGCCTTCTATTTCGTACCCGAGGGAGAAGACCACGCAAATGGCGTATTCTTTGAACAGTTCGAGGACGCATATCACGAGCAAGGCTTCGAAGAGTTGGAGGAGGGCGAAATTTTCGAGATGAGGACTCGGCGAATCGTTTTCCCAGATGACGGGGCTGAAGAACGGGCAGCTAGACGACTACGTGCGGGGGGAGGACTGCGACGGAATGCTCAGCTGGAGAACAACCCGAACATCAACCACAATGCTCTATCGCCTCGGTGGTTGGTAGAGGATGTTCGGTTTGCATTGGGGGATATGACTGGCAGGTACAGAAACAGAAGAATCAATCCTCGGGTTCCTCAGGTGCCAGGAAGAAGGGCGGGGAATTTCAGATAGGTCAGTGAAGGAGGAGGGAATATAGAAGTCGTGGGGGCTTTTGGGGGTTAAGGGACAAGGGTTAAGGGCTGGGTTGTTAGATTTCATTATTGTTCCTCCTTGTTGACTAAATTAATATTAATACACCAAAAGAAAGTACAAACTACAAAAACTGAACATAAGTAAAAGCTTCACGGCAACATAGAGTGTCCCCTCGTCGCGTACTTTGATGAGGGTTGTGAAAGGTAGGTGTGAGAAGGTGGTCTGGGTGAAGGAAGAGGCGAGTAGTTGTGTTTAGTGAGTGAGTGAATGAATGAATACATGCACTTTCGACGAGCTGCGCTGCGATGTGGGTGTGGGTGTGGGTGAAGGTGCGGTAGAGTACTCGAGTACAGTACAGTACCCAAGAAAGATATTTATATTTTGTAAGTAATAAGAAGAAGAAGATCTGAATGAAAGGGGTTTCCAATTGCTTGTAAATTAACGTCAGAATGGTTCATGTAGGCGATCTGTTCCGGTTTATTCATGAATCTAATAGATTCATGAATATCTTAGTTCATTTATGAATCTAGCCAGTTCATTCATAAATCCACGCTAAGATTCACGAATGAACTGTATTTACGTATAAACTAGGATATTCATGAATCTTAAATCGTTTAAAATGAGGATATATTTTACTACTCTATATTATCGCCAGCAGTATTAGCTCTAGCTCTCTTACTCTTCCTTTGCCCTTCAACTAGACCAGTATCACTTAATCCACCCCTAATTTGCTCCTGATTTTCTACTATTGCAACTCCAGTCCTTAATCCTAAACTAGCTAAGTAGCCGCAGTTATGCTCTGAATTTGAGTGCTATAAACAATTTAGGAAGAGGAAAGAGCTTTTTTGTGTAGGCCTGCAAAGTGAACTTTTGCTTATTTTGGTTTAGTGCAGATTCACAAGTAAACTGGATTCACGTATAAACTAGTTTATTTGTGAATAACACTAATATTCACGAGTGACCTAGGGTATACGTGAATTTGTACTAAGATTCATGAATGAACTAGGTCAATCGTGAATGCGCTAAGATTCATAAATGAACTGGGATATTTATAAATCTCCTAGATTCACGAATGAACCAGGACAGATTAGACCCACGTACCCCGCAGATAGAGGGGAGGGGAGGGGAGGGGAGGGGCAAGGCAAGCAAGGGAGCAAATGCGCGGATTGGCATTTAATGTTTCTATCGTTATTATATATGACTTCTTGTCGTCCAGTAGTCTGGTGACAATTGCTATAACTGCATTCAACCCAAGCTACGTCTTGCGAATTTCCAGTTGTCGATCAATTTGATACCAGTGAGTCCCGATTCTTTAACCTAAAAAGGTCTTGCAAGTTTACTGCTATGCTTGGATCGATTGTGATAAAGGTCAACATGATATATGGGACTCCATATGTTTCCTAGTGAGGCATAGGTTATATCAAGGCACACATTGGTTGTAGCTTAGGAGGATGTAATATCTCAAGTACAAGCAAGCGCCAGACGATGAGATAGAGATAAAAATACTAAATCTCCAACTTGGGGAAGTCTCCATCCTGCTATAGATACTATATGAATAGTCGGTATTGATTTTCTGGTGTTGCGAGGTGAAAGAGAAGAAGTGAGTGATGTGGGGCAGATCAACAAATCCAGCTCCGGCCCCACGATTTTGAGATGCGCGTGCTTAACACAGACTTTCGTCACTCCCGCCCATCTCTGACGGTCCATACTGTACTCGTGCAACCAAGACCCCCTCGCATTATTATATGTAGCAGCGGAGGTATATGCAGATATCCCCACCATGCTCGCTACAAACCGAATACCTTCGAGCACCCGCCTCATAGGCTAAGCTGAGCACTACCTATTGTCTGCCCGCGATGCTCCCCCCTCCAACCTTAAGCTTCACCATTCCTTCGATCCAGGACGATACAGTTCTCCAGTGTCGAGTCTACCACCCTTCTTGCCTTGCCCCGACCTCAGTATCGCAGATCATCGATTGGAAGAAGAAGGCTGCAATCGTTGCCCATCCCTACGCACCTCTCGGGGGGTGTTACGACGACCCTGTGGTCGATGCTATCGCAGCTACTATCCTTAAGCAAGGCTGGGTTGTGGCAACGTTCAATTTCAGGTTGATATACGCCTATGCCAATTGCAGGACTTCTGCTAATATCTTGGTACCAGAGGCGCTGGATCGTCACAAGGACGAACGTCCTGGCAGTCGAAGCCGGAGCAGAATGACTATATTTCTATACTAGGATTTATCGTCTACTACTTGCATCTGCTCTCACCACCTGAGGCCCCTCCAAAGTTCACCCTCTCTGATCCTGGGCGTCACGATTTGACCCCAGTACCTTCCCAAGCCTTGCCCCCGCCAACTACGCTCCAACTAGAACAGGACAATGAGCAGGACACACGACCACGGTTACTTCTTGCAGGCTACTCCTATGGAGCACTCATCACTTGCTCTCTACCGGCCATTTTGAGCTCAATCATTGCCCCGTTCCAGGATCCGCCACCACGTTCAGCTCATGCCGAAATTCGACTTCGCGCCGAGCGTCTAGCAGGCCAACAGAACGAAATTATGCAGCAAAACCTAGTCTCGCTCTTTCAATACAATGAACACCGACGTGGGAGGAGTTTACAAGCCAATGATGTTCTACACAGCCCCAAGGTGCGAGGAGGAGTTCGAATGGGTGGGGACGAGGACCCTAGGAGAGCTAGCCATGAGTCTTACCGCCCTGGGAATTCATTCGCCATAGAAACACCAGAGCTCGTCAAGAAGAGTGTGGATAGAGTGCGCTCTATCACACGACACAAGAAGTTCTCGCCAAAGAGACATGCTAGCCAGGGATCTTTTTCCTCGTACAAAAACAAGAAGCGCGAGTCGAGTTCTACAATTGACAAGAAACACAGTGATGAAGAGGAGGAGGCGAAGAAGAAGCAAATGATACAACCAATTCCCGGTATTACCTTGAAAGTGGGATATCTGCTGGTAAGCCCTCTGCAAGGCTGGGTCAACACGTTGGCAACCATGTGGAGCGCAACATTAGCGGGAAGAGATACAATATCCGAAAACGAGATGAAACTCGCGATTGATCCAACTCTGGCTCTTTTCGGCGACGGTGATGTCTTTGTCAGTGTCAAGAGACTGCATGCTTGGGCTGAAAAGCTTGCGAGTGCTGGCAAAGGTGGCGGCAGCCAGTTTAGGTATAGAAAAGTTGCCAACGCAGGGCACTTCTGGCATGATCATGAAGCTGTGAAAGTTTTGCAAGATGAGATCAAGTTTTTTGTGTCCACGTTATGAGTTAGATATATATTACAAATTTTTAGAGCTCGCTTTGGTAGGTATCTAAGCTCAATTGTCGCTGGTGAACTATCCTAGTAAGATGTGTTTCACATGATTCGCGGGTGAACTTCAACACCAATTCTCCATCTATTTCCCTTCACCTACACCATTTTTTGTGCATTTGGGTATCTCACCAAGCTCCGCCAGTGACCCTGAAGACTCGCTCCATGCCATTTCCCTCGCCTTCTCCTTCGCCCTCACAATATCTTGCATTCTCTTAGCATCATGTTTCCTCTTCTCGCGCTCTCTGCCCTCTCTGCGTCTCCGACGAGCTTCTAACTTGTCGGTACATTTGACAATGAGATATACAAAGAATATGATTGAGATGATGACGCCGAGTCCAATGAGTACTGTCTTGAAGCTTGTCAGTAAAAAGACTCATAGAAGTGAGGACAGACTCACTATCACATCCCAATGAAGGCCATGCGTTTTGGGATAATGGTTTTGGTCGAGGCGACGGCTTAGTGGTTCTGGTTTGATGGCTTCAATGTTGTCCTTGAAAATGGAAGCCACGGCTCTTGGTGTGAGAGGAGCCATATCTGCTATTCTGGGTCTTGAGTTAGAGTTTGCAGATGTGTTTTGTGCTTGAAGGTCGTGGAGCAGATCTCGACGTAACTTTTATATCCAAGTACTAGTGCATTGCGATTCGGACTGAACTCAGTCCACTACAAAATTATCCCCTTAAAGGTCATAGTCTTCCCGCGCATATCCCGTTTTTGGTCTGCCTCCTCCCATGACTATTCCTGTACTTATAAAATATAAATATCTTTCTTAGGTACTATACTATACTCTACCGCACCTTCACTTACTCACTAAACATAACTACTTGCGCTCTTCCTTCACCTAGACTACCTTCTTACACCTACCTTTCACAACCCCTATTAGAGTCTGAAAATGCAATAAATAAACGCTTCTCGGCCGGCTCCTTCTCATTCGAATACTACTGGATGATTTTCAAGTGACCGCAAAACAGAGAAGAGATCTCGAAGCTGCGTGTTGAAGAGTATATAAACAAATCATTGTATACATATACCACTATTTGCAATTCAAACGAATCTTGGGACCATACTCGTAATAGATAGATGAGAATAAAATGCCAAATTACTATACTATTCAAAAGCTATAAAACAAATCCAAATCCTCGTTCTGGTAACTTAGCCCTACAACAGAAGCCTCTCAATAACCAACTAACTAAGCCAAATAAATGCCGTCCATAATTTCATCATCATCATCATCCCGTACGTATCATACTTTTCATCAATCGCTCATTGTTCCAAGAAATGCCGATGCCGATAAATACCCACGTCTAATAACTCCAATGCATAATGCATGCAAAAAATACATCAATCAACCAGATCCGCCCGCTCCAATGCCGAGCCCCACTCGAGGCTGCTGCGGCACGCTTCCACCTCTTTCTCGAAGCCTTCTTCCTTCCATCAATCCCCTCAAACCCCTCTTTTGAAGTCCAATTACCGCACTGACATCTCCTTTCCAAACTTCTCGAAGACCGCCATTCCCGCCACCTGCGTCAGAAGCACTCAAGCTTCCGCTGAAATCGGAACCGGAAATATCACTCGCCACGCTTGACGACGCACTTAGATTATCTTCATCGTCTGACTGCCTGCCACTTGCGACCCCTCCCACTGTGGTATTGATTCGAAGCGCTTGGCTTCTGGATGTCAGATCTCCACCAAGCGACCCGAGCTGTAAGATTGGCGGGCCATCATTCGGAGCGCCGCCTGGTATATCTGCGAAATCTGTAGATAGCCAATTCTCTCCCAGAGCCGACGTACTTGTCGATCTCCCGCCGCCAGCAGCCATCGCTGAAGCGTTGAAGACCGCGGCGGCATTTCTAGAGTCCAACACTCCATGGAGACGCTCCACTACAGCCTCGAGAAGACCATCGATCTTGTAGGGGCGGGCAAGCTGGAGAAGCGAGCAGAGAATTTGTGGTGTACACAGTGGGGATGAAGAGATTGGTAGTGAAGAAGTGTATAAAAAGTGGAGTAAGGATTGCAGAGTCAGATGAGTATGTGGTAGGTAAAGCGTTCGAGGTCGGGAGGATGGGGCGAGAGAGTTGGAGTTGGGGGGGAGAGAGAGTGTTGATGGATCGACAGACCCCGATTGAAGACCAGACGACGTTGTAGGCGACGTAGTATTGTTGAGTGTCGAGGTGGAAGACATACTCGAAGACTGTGCCCCGATACTAGGAGTGATAGTTATGCTGCTATTTCTGCTTGGATTGTTTCGAAAGACGCCTTCAGGCCGAATGGTTGTAGCATCGTTGCCGTCTTGTGTTGCAGCACCCTCACGGAGAAGCTGCACAAAGTAAGGACCCCATCTCCTAGCAACCAATCGAGAGTTTACAGGAATTCGTTCTCCTCCAACGCAAAGGATATCCATATCAGCAAGCTCCCTTAAGCTAAGTGCCGCCTGACCAAGATCTTCAGCAGCTTTTGAAAGCGTTCTTCCGCCGGCGGTCCAGCCAGCTTTCGTGCTTAGATTCAGCGACGGAGCCGTGAAGGGTGAGCTAGCAGATACGAATCCAGACATTGGCGTCGTCTTCCGTGGATTATCATAAAGTCCAAACGCTTCCAGCTCAACCATACATACATTGGAAAAATTGATTCGGCGGTGGTTGTAATCCTCAACCAAGCTGCGCTTTCGATTCCCAAGAATAACAAACGTATTCCGCCGATTCCAGAGGACACCTCTGTTCCAACTTCCTTGGCTGAAAACACTTCCGCCCGCATCAATACGGCTCCAAGTCAAGGTCCGCAAGTCTAACGCCCACAATGCATATTCTTGTTTCGATGAAGTAAGGTACGTGCCACTGACAACGAAATTTGTGTCGATGACTCCGCCATTAGGAAATCGTAGGCCAGGGGGTGAGAAGGTCCCCTGCATTGGCTTTTCCGTCAATGTTCCATCGGAGGATCGTATTTGCAACTCCAACTTGACGTCCAAGAAATTGTAGTTGGAGTATATCAGCATCGACGAACCAGGCTCCTTGGTGTCCTGACTGATCCCTCCATGTTCCGGCCTTAAAGGCGAGGTCTTCCCCAAACGAGTAGAAGCGCTGGCGGGCAGAGGAGCCACAACACTGCGATAGGCTCCGCAACTCTTTCCTAATTGCTGTGTGCTTGTCCATTTTAGGCTCCGGAGGTTGAAAACACTAATCTGCTCAATGTAATGATTTGCGCTATCCTGCCCTCCAACAACCACCATCTCCGCACCTCCGCTTCCATCAATGTTAACACCGATTGTGCCCGAATTGGGGTTTGATCCTGGAAGGTTGTGTTGGAGCGCAGACGAAGGGGCGTTGGCGGAGGAAAAGGTTGCTGAAGAGGGGAGAATTGTCGCGCAGTGCGCGTAGCGGCCTTGCGGTGTCTCCTGCGTTGGGATGAAGGACCAAGTCCTTGTAGGTGCATCATATATGTAAATATCTGACATAACAACCACTTCTGGTTGAGCGTCTTGGGGACTATGCGAAGAAACCACCGATTGGCCCTGGTTTTGGCCTTGTGTTGGAGCAGGCGACATGCCGCCATAGCACACGAGCTTCGTATCACCCAAAGGGCAAACACTGTGAAAGTACCTCGGGGGAGGTACGTCACCAGCCGCGTCAACTTTTGTCCAATGCCGCCGTATTAAATCTAGCTCATACAAGTCCGAGGTTAGAGACGGGCGTGTCCTTGATAATATTCTGCCTCCGAATACGTAAAGTTTATCTCCAAGTATCGTAGTTGTTGCCCCCACAAGAGGGTGAGGTTCTCTTCCAGTTGTCCGGTGTACATTGCACATCAGACCAGATAGATGTGTAGATGAAGAAGACCCTGGTGTTCCCATTGTTGCACCTCCTACAGTCCGTGATGGCTGTGCTGGGGATGGTCCTGCAGATGGCGGTCCATTACTTCTCGGTGTCATAATGTCCCTTGGGTCATCCTCTCCCTCCTGTCTGCCAGAGCCTGCAATATTAGTCTGGCTACTACTCATGTTGGACCCAGACTTGAAATTATTGGCGTACATGGGTGGTCCTGAAGTCGATGAGTCCATGGTGCTGGTGCGGCTACCACTCGCGGCTGATCGAGACATCGAGGCAAATATTTGGGGGGTGTCTGGAGGGGAGAATGGGTTCACTATGTGCTGTTCAAGAGGAGGGGGTGCTGGTAAGGGCTTTTCGCGGTTGATGATGCTTGTGTTACGTTCATGCTTCTGTTTGAGGGTTTCTGGAGACCTTTCAAAACCACCGAAGGCTGAATCTGGAGACGCCGCTGTTGATGCTTCGCCAGCCTGGATATTCGAGGGTCTGCGTCCGCCAGATACTGATCCCCACTTCCTGATCCCCCTCCGTACGCCTGCGAGGAAGTCGCCTCTGTCGGGAGAGTGACGAAAGTCGTCTTCAGCCGCCGAGGAGTCTGAGGAGTTGAAAAATTTGGACTCGAATGAGCCTTCTGGCCGCAGTGTCAGTTTGTCTGCCATGAACAATCATTGCCAGAGAAGAACTCGGGGACACAGGTTTGGTCTTGAAGACATTGCCAACAGCCAGCAAAACTTCAAATATGGAGGCTTGCGGATCAATGGAGAACAGGCTTACCTTGTAATATCTCTTGTGGGAACCCACAATGATGCCCGGCGATCAGCTGGAGCGAGACTTATTCCGTAATGAATTCCCCGTTTTTTGGGAAGTGAAGGCCACAGCCGTCCAGGGTAGAGGGGGGGGGGGAGGCTTGAAGTAAGGTCCGCACAGACGCGCTCTGGCTTCCGCTCAAATCAAAATTTCGGAAGCGCTTGTTTTACACCTACTTTGCGTGCCAATTGGCAACCGAGAACAAGCAGACGGCAGACTAGACTATAAAAAGCTATAACACAGCTGTTATATTGGTCGCCTCGTTCAGGTATATTTGGTCTATTTCGTACGTCGAAGCCCGTATGTTCGTGGTCGTACGCGTTCAAATTTCCCAAAACGGCTGCAGCCTCCTTTCAAATCTGCTAAGAACGTTCGTTTCTAACGAGTCCAAGCTCAATACAAATGACTCGACACTCTCCTATTCCTGTGGCGGTCGTATCTTATGTGGATGTGTCCGGAGTATGCCACCTAGAACTACTTCCGGCTTTACGGTATCGACCGAACTTGTCTTCAAAGCCTACAAGCAGTGACCGGGAGTAGATAAGAGGTAAAGATGGTTCTGCCCGAGATGGAAATGGTTCATCTCAGTCTGGCTTCTCAAAATGCTTTCCGGTGCTGCTGTTTCCTATCTGTACGAAGTACACTGTACAGCAGTAGCCTCGTTTTCAACGCCTTGTCCTTCCTTCTTTGGCTCGTGCAAGCTCGAGCGTAGGATAGGCGACTTCTCCCGCTGTCCGGGACTGGTCTCTCGAGTCTTGATGGGGTTGGTAGCGGACAGCTTCCCTGGCTTGGCGACGCTTGCTCGGACGTTCAAAGCGTGGGCTTATCCCGGAACCACGTGTCAACAAAGTAGCTTGAATGCAGGATAGCCTATTATATATTGCGAGTCGAGCGTTGAGTTGAGGCCATTCAGAACTCATCAAGCACAACGGAGACTATTTTTGTGATGTTGCTTCGTATGTGTCGTCTGCCTTTGTATCATATATATTGCTAATACTGGAAGGATTTGTAGTTGGCCTATAGCGTAAACCTTCTCGGGCCTGTGCCTATTCTTGTGCTTGTTGACCCCGCATATTTTGCGCGAACCATGCAAAGCTACAGATCAACTAAGGATTGAAATTAATAACGCATTAGATAATCTACCCAAGATTGTATAATATTTCGTCTCAAATTGGTAACTAATGGGCACTATATAGAGGTATGTATGCAGGTACTCTCGCACTTTTGGATGCGACAAGCATTTTAAGTTGCCTTACTATGCCATAATTTGTTGTCTGACTTAAGAATTTCTGTAATTTTGATCTATTATTTCATTAGGATCATGACCGAAGATATTTTGAACAGGTACTAGAAATCCAAGTAACCATATGCAAGACGTGTGGAGAGGAATTTTTTTATTAGATTTGCTTTATAAGTTAGCCTCGCTGCATCTTTCCCGACAGACTGTGCCTCCAAATCACAGGTTGTCATGCTTCGGCTTCATAATACATCATAATCCTTTGTGACCCTGAATTGCTCTTATCCTACCATCATGCAAAATCCGATGATTTAGAGGGAAGCAGAAGTCTGATCCTTTGGCAGAGGGGTGAAACGCAGATATGGCTTGACAATTCGGAATTGAGGGAACAAGGTCTTGGCCTCTTCGTTCTTGACGCTGGGGTGAACAATCACATCATCACCGGGGATCCAGTTGATGGGTGTTGTAATTCGGTGCTTGTCGCCAGTCTGAAGGGAGTCGACAACACGGAGGACTTCGGCGGTGTTACGGCCGGTGGAAGCCGGGTATGAGAGGATGAGACGAATAGTCTTCTTGGGGTCAATAATGAAGACAGAACGGATGGTGAAAGCAATTCCCTTAGCATCGACGTTTGTGGTGTCCTGGTGGTCAAGCCTTCACTGCTGTGTTAGTCCGGAAGAATGGTTCTTTTGTAGAGTATATGCTCACATGTCATAGGCGTAAGCAACCTTGCGCTCCTTGTCACCAATGATGGGGAAAGAAAGCTTGCTGCCTGAGATCTCGTCAATGTCCGCGATCCATCCTCCGTGAGATTCGACGGTATTGGCAGAAAGACCGATCAACTTAACACCGCGCTTGGTGAACTCAGGCTCGAGCTTTGCGAAAGCACGAGCTCGGTGGTGCAGACTGGAGTGTAATCTTCAGGGTGGAGAAGAGGACTACCCATTTGTCGCCGATGAATTCATGGAAGTCGATGGGGCCAGTGGTGGTTTCAGCCTTGAAGTTTGGGGCAATGGAGCCGAGGCGGAGACTGAGTGCGAAAATGTCAGCTAAATACAGTTCGGCTGGGAAAAGTGAATTAAGCAATGAAAGGATGAATCCACGTCGGGGCTACACAAAGACAGCGCAATGTGGAAACCGGTTTTGTGCTTCAATTGAAACATTGCATTGCGCTTCACGATCTTCTTGACGGGAGAAAAGGGCACACTCTCTGTGCAAAGGCGTGTGTGGTGGCTGTTTTTCAACGCCCGCCACCGTCACAAGAGTGGCGGGGTAATTGGAGGGGTACTGAGAGAAATGGCTGAACTTACGGCGCAGGTCTTGGGTCGCTAGACATGTTGAGAGATTTATGTATAGAAAGGTAGGTGGTCTTGTGCGGATATTGGATTGTTGGTTTTGCTTTGCTTTGGGTGTAAGATGGAAGAAGAATGAATGGAGGGGCTGTTGTTCTCTTATCCTTCTACCGCAGCGTCAAACTCATCGTGGAAGAAATTGCGTGCTCAGCCTTGTCCATTTTTTCGAAGGATGGCTAGTACGCAACAAGTCTAGCTTCTGGTCTGACATCCTTCTCATTGGTCAAGGGGGCGCCACGACCAAGAGAAGAAAAAGATGCTCCTCCATAAGTAGGGACAAAGGGAGATCTGAGGGTGTGGGTGTAGGTGGTGTCATTTGGTCTGCAGGAACACTCATCGTAGGGGTACTGTATACAGTACTGTAAGGAGATGGATGTATCTTGCAATATATTATCAATCACAACTTGCAACCCAGATGCATCTCCGTCACTTTGTGGAATGACAGCCTTGTCTGAGATTGTTACTATAGGGGTGTATAGAGAAGGAAAAGTAGAAGAGAATGCGGGTATGTGACATCCAAACAGTAACATGTACAAGTTGAGAGCGAATTGCACTGCTGGGTGGTTGAGGCTTTGGCAGAAGGATCTGGCCTTGAAGTTTACTGCTACTGTAGATGTCTCCTTCTTTACTCAAGTACCTGTAGCCCTATATTATCTTAATCAACAAAGCTCTTTCAGATGATGTGTCGAAGCTCTACTATTGACAAAGAATATACACAATTCCCCGCATTGCAACCTGCCTTTCAACCCAACCTACCCCACCCCCACCTTTACTTAAACATGCCCTTAGATCACGTGGGTTTACTACCCATCCTTTTACAATTACATCCCTCCCCCTTACCGATCTATCTCCGTCATCTATCTCCCAAGAGGATTCAGCCGCCTTACCACGACGGGGAATTACGTTGTTCCGCACAACGTGACACGCAGATCACATAGCGAATGACTAGCACTAGCTTTGCCCACCCCCTCCATCTCGGATGCGGGCATAAAACTGGAAATAAACAAATTAGGGAAGCTGTTCGGGGTTAAATCCACACTTCTCGCGGTGGCAGGCCAATGAACAGTAGCATCTCCGATCTGCTAAGCTTGTCCGGGCCAAGTCTCTGAGGCTAACTCCCGGGAACAACTCACTCACAAGGGAATGAATGTCATGCATGCAGAGAAAGTACAGTACGTATGCCACGGATGCCATGGAGATAGGTAGGGTAGGATAGGCTCAGACAGTTTACTACCTAGGTACCTAACCTAAGTCCTTTCTCCATTTTTGACTTTAAATTCGTTGTCTGTCTGTCTGTCTTTCGTTTGCGTGGCATTTGCAGTCTCTTTCTATCCGTTTGTCTGTTACTCTTCCTCATATCCTTGCCTATTACTTATCTTCTCTTCTCTTCAACAAGCCAGCAAGCTACCTTATGGCGGCCCCAGAAATCCACCTCTTTCCAGCCAAAAGGGACTGTGATGACTTAACCCAGGCCAAGGGCAACAACACCTCTAACCTTTCCATTGATTCAGAAGGAATAGTCGTCAATGGAGAATCGCCGATTGTGTATCATTACATGACTTTCGAAACCCCGCTTCCCACACCGTCATGCTTGGTATCTACAATACCCTCCGCCCCGCCAGCACCACCCCAACCAGACCTCAAGAAATACACCTCTCCCTTCCATTGGCCCGAGAGCCGCAAGAGCTTCATAGTATGGCTCAGTTGTATAGCCACGCTCTTCACAGCTTATTCCGCAGGCGCCTACTCCCCCGCCGCACAACGCATGTCGGCCGAATGGCACGTTAGCGAAGTCGCCATATTAGTAGGCACCACTACATTCTGCTTTGGCTTTGCCATAGCTCCAATGCTCCTGGCACCCTTCTCGGAAATCAACGGACGGTATCCCGTGTTTGCGGGCGCCGGGATACTGTTTTTTGTCTGCCAGATTTGCTGTGCCGTTACACGTTCCTATCCTGGGATGCTGGTTGCCAGGTTTTTTGTTGGATGTGGAAGCTCTGTCTTCTCGACTATGGTTGGGGGTGTTGTTAGTGATCTCTATCATGCGGAGAATCGAAATACGCCTATGGCTCTGTTTTCTGGCGGAGTCTTGTTTGGGACTGGCTTGGGGCCATTGGTTAGCGGGTTCATTGTCCACAACACTTCTTGGAGATGTGAGTACTTTGAACTTGAGAATTTTAAGGAATAGTCTTAGAATCCTACTCTAAGAATGTCTCAGTGCTTTCATGTCATTTCCAAATTCTCTATTAAAGCACCGCTAATTCTCAATAGGGGACTTCTGGGTGCAGTTCGTCAATTTTTTTCATTCCCCTTGACATATGTCACGGAACTTTTCCTCCCTCTTTTTAAAATATTACTATGCTAACTGAGTCGTTATACAGGGTAATCATCACAGGCTTAGTTGTCGGCTCCGTAATCATACTCTTTCGCGAGACGCGAGGCTCAATCCTGCTCTCCCGCAAAGCACGATGTCTCAACACCTGGTACGAGCAACGCGAAGCCCTGGGCTACATCGGCTTCGATATGCCCACCGCGTCAGAGAAAACGCAGAGCCAACGCATAAGATGGAAAGTGAAAACTGACGAGGAGCGCGAATCCATCACGAAAATGATCACCATCTCCGTCTACCGTCCTTTCCACTTACTAGTCACCGAACCAGTGGTCTTCTTCTTCTCGCTGTGGGTAGCGTTCTCGTGGGCGGTGCTGTATTTGACATTCGGTGCTGTACCCTTGGTGTTCGCACGCTCGCACGGCTTCACTTTGCAAGAATCCAACGCCGTGTTTGGAGCTATGTGCACAGCAGCAGTCATCTCGACAATCCTATCCATATACCAAGACCGCATCCTCGGTCACTACCTCGCCGCTTCCGGCAAAAACATCCAGAATCCAGGACGCATACGAAGGAGTATCGATCTCTCTTGTCCAGAAGGAAGACTGTATTTCGCTTGTATCGAGTCTGTGCTCCTCCCCATTGGCCTCTTCTGGTTCGGATGGACGCAGTTCCATTCCATTCCTTGGATTGTCCCCGCGCTGGCTGTCGGCTGTGCGACTATGGGCATTTATTCCATCTACCTAGCCACCTTCAACTACCTCGCCGATACCTACCATCGATACGCAAGTTCTGCTCTCGCCGCCCAATCCTTCTGCCGCAACATCCTCGGGGGTATTTTCCCCCTCGTCACCGTAGCCATGTTCAACAACCTCACATTCCAAGGCGCAGCCAGTCTACTCGGCGGACTAGGAGCGCTGTTGACCATCGTCCCATGGGTATTGGTATTCTACGGCCCAAAGATTCGCGCGCGGTCGAGGTTTGCCGCAGAGATTTTGTAGCAGACCCAATTGAAGAGAATTTACATGTCCCATTGTCACCCAGGAATTATTCATGAATTTTTAATTTTTTTTATTAATTTTGCGCATTAGGCTTATCCTACCGTACGCCTTGCCTGTATTCAACAGTGTGCCACTATGCGTGGATGATTCCAAAAACAAACACCGAAAACAAATCCCTTTTATCAATGGGGCCACATCCTATCAATACAGGGCCTCCCTCATCTATAATGTTCCACTATGCGTGGACAACTGCAAAAACAAACGCCGAAAACAAATCCCTTTTATGAGTGGGGCCACATCTTATGAATACAATGCCCTCCCTCATCCATAATGTTCCACTCCAAGTGGATGATGCAAAAAGCACCGCCAGCTAATGTCAATGTTCCACTCCAAGTGGATGATGCAAAAAGCGCCGCCAAGCAATGATAATGTTCCGCTCCTTGTGGATGAATCAAAAAGCGCCGCTAAGCAATGATAATATTCCGCTCCTTGTGGATGATTCAAAAACGCCGTTAACCAATTCTCACTGCATGCCTTGTTCTCACTGCATGCCTTCTAGGACGTCGTAGAGACCATAAAGCTGGTCACCCTTGAACTCAAGCTGCTGCAAGAGTGACTCGAGTTTCTTGCCAATGCGTCTTCGTTCCCTCTTTGCCATGGAGGCATCGAGATTCTGGTATTGTGTTTGAACCTCGGATTGTTTCATTTTCAGATGAGCAATTTCGTCCTCCAAGCCTTTGATGACAGTTGTAAGAGCGAGACCAGGTTCGACGGATGGGCGGATGGTAGGTTCGTCTTCGTAGGGGGTTGCAACGGGCATGCGCTTTGAGACCGGAACAGGATTGGCCGAGCGGATGGGTGCTCCTCCAGTGGTCTTGTCTCCGAATGAAGTGACCCGAGTGCACAACAAGCAGTCTTTGGCATTGTGCTCAGAGCAGAGGCTGTCCAAGACGTGACGGGCGGAGGCGGAGAGAACTGGATGCTTCTGATGCTGTTCTTCTGTGAACGAGTGGGCTGATTGCTTTCGGTGTTGATATTGATTCTGGGTGTCTCGAGTTGAGACATTCTCGCGAGTACGGACTGAAGGGGCAAGAGGCTCTTGGTGCTGATGTTGGCTCTGGACGCTTCTGGGTGCCGAAACCTTCTCGTGGAGGGGGCCCGATGCTGCGGCCGAGGCGGCCGATTTCTTTCGGTACTGATGTTTGATTTGGATATCTTTAGATGGTGAAAAAACCTCACGGGCAAGGGTCGAGCCGGCGACCGAAGCGGTTGACTTCTTTCGGTACTGATGTTCGATTTGGACATCTTTAGATGGTGAAGAAACCTCACGGGCAAGGGTTGAGCCTACGACCGAAGGAGCCCGATGATTTCGATGCTGGTGTTGATTCTGAATGTCTCTGGATGGGGAGGCATTTCCGTGGATTGGGGCCGAAGCGACAGCAGGAACCTCCTTCGGGACGGAAGGGTGATTGCGAATGACGTTAACCGCTGAAGCATGCTCTAGCTGCTCTCGAATATCAGTGATAGCATGCTCGAGCCCCTGGTTCTGCTGTTCTAGACCGGCATTTTGCTCATGAACATCAGTGATGGCATGCTCGAGTTTTTGGTTGTTTTCCTCGAGAGCGGAATTTTGCTCATAAACATCAGTGATGGCATGCTCAAGTTTTTGGTTATGTTCCTCGAGACCGGAATTTTGCTCTTGAATATCAGTGATGGCATGCTCGAGTCCCTGGTTCTGTTCTTTGAGACCGGCATTCTGCTCTTTCAGGGCACGATTTTCAAGCTCGAGAGTTTTGGTGTGATGTTCTAACCTGATGTGAGACCTGTGCAAGGTGTCAATGGACTGCTTGAGGGCACTGTCACTGGCGGCCAGTCGATCGTGGGATTCTCTGAGTTCGTCGAAGAGAGTTTTCAACTCTTCATTCTCAGTTTCGCCTCTTATGACTCTACTCTTCAACAACTCAATCGCCAAATATATCTTCTCCTCATCGTCTGGGATGATGATCGCATGGACTGGGCCAAACGAAACCGCTTGAACAAGTTCTCTGGAACCTCGACGGGCGAGAGCGTGTCCACCCTTGGTGATGACGGGAACTCCATTGTCGAGAATGGCCGAGTCAGAGTTTGAGGCTGCGGCAGGAAGGACGAATGAAGCCTGGGTGGGGTTGTAGGTAGTTGAGATAGTGGGGTTCTGGTGGTATGAAGGCCGAGTAGTCTCAGGCGTGGTAGAGGTTGGTAGGTTGAGATAAGGCTGGGCGGGTTTCTGCGCGGCAGAAGCTGCGGATTCCTGGTGGAAGATAGGTTGAGCAGGTCTTGCAATGGCAGAGGCTGCGGGTTTCTGCGCGGCAGAAGCTGCAGGCTCCTGGTGAGAGGAAGGCTGAGCAGGTCTTGCAATAGTAGAGGCAGC